TAATTAGGTCCTATATTAAGGACTGTAGGAGTATATATAATTATATTTAATATATACACACACATGTAATATTCATATGTGGTTGAATTATATATTTCAAGACTTAAATTGTTGACACATTTGACTATGGATGTTGTTTGACAACCTGTCATGTTGTGTTTGATTATATAGTTATAAGGAGATATGAAATGATAAATAGATATATGAATTTGTAGTGTGTTATTTATATTTCTTCTCTTAAACTATTCTAAATTATGAATTATAAAATACATTTAAAAATCAAAATATTATTTATTAGGTTTGGTGAAAATCTCCAGCGTTGGGGTGGGTAAGGAAGCCCATCCGATCTAGTCTTATCTTAAATAACTCGGGCTTTTACCAGGTAGGACTGGGCATCATTCGGCCTTGTGTTATGCCCTGCTCAGCCTTGTCCATATGGGGCCCTAATTTTATACTCCTCCAATCTAAATATACAACTTATACATATATATATATATATCTTATATTAGGCATTGAAAAAGTTGAAAGAGTAGCTTGACTGTTGGCATCCGAAAATAAAACTGTAGTTTAGTTCAATCTCTTCAGTTTGACATCTCTTAACGGCGCAACGCCTTGTAAAGTTGTGATTTAACGAAATAAAAACCCTCCATACAAACACTGCCAATAACCTTGTAGACATGAAAACTTTCGACATTGTGTCGCATTTATAATCCCCTGCTTGCTTAATTGAAAGTCCCATTTATAATTTACAATTTACAATTCATTTATTTAAATTTCCATGTCACCGTCCAACAGATAAGGAAATTGAACTATGCGGCAGAAACTTTATCTCTTTAACATAAAAGCTTTAGACTGACGATTGCAGGGCTTTACCCCGAAGGGAGCCCTTCCAGAAATTCTCAAAGGCCTGGGCCAAACCCAGGCCCAAGAGGGGGTTTGGAAATAGTTTTCAACCAGCAATAGACGCGCCTCGGTTAGAACCTCACTAGCTGCGTCATTGCCCCAAGCGCAAAGATGCTTTGAAACTAGTGCTCCATCCTTTTTTATAGATCAACCACGGTGTTTCCTTCCAGCCTCGTGTCGATGTGGGACTTCAAAAACTATCCATTCGCAATTTATCTTCCCACTGAACAGCCTCAAAAGTGCAGGAAGATCAAATATGAATCAGTGGAGGACACGAAGAAGCTTATCCTTTCAGCTCCCAAAGACACAAGTCACGAAGCAGATATTCCTATTAGTTGAGGAGAAAAAATATATGCAGATGTTTTCTTCGCTTCTGTCTGTATGATACATGTAAAAAATTAGGTGGTGTAGCGTAACTTGCTAAATCTCAGCTTATTTTACCCAATTCGGGAGGGAAAAACTGTGACCTTGCTGCAAAGAGGGAAAAAAACTTATTCCATTGAGAAAAACATTTCTGCATCGTGGTTGAAGGTATTATGGGTTTGACAACTGATTTAGCTCCAGTCAGTCAGAGATAAACATTAGCTCTTAACCACTAGTCTATCTACTTCAAGTCCTTTCATTTTGCTCCGTATCTTTTCCAGCATCTGCTTTCCTTCTCCAACATAATGACCAGAACCTCGAGCTGCGAGCTTTGGGTTTGAACTATCCAACTCTAGCTAGAAGATACAAACATAGCAGATCATAAGGGAAGTCTTGGACAACGGAGAAAGTTTCAAGTATTTCACCCCTCCTTCTGTATGCCCATCCATTTTGGTTACATCACAGCTCCAACTTGAACACCGTGTTTAAATGCTTGAGCCTGATCAAATGCAGCTTCACCAATACTACCATCCATAACAAATAGAACAAGGTCTGGTTTCTGAACAAAGTAAAGTTGAGGAATTAGATACTCTTGTCGCTACAAAGATACAAACATAGCAGATCAAAAGACAATTTCTTCAAAAATAGATGCAATTTTCCAATATCTGATACAAAGGAAAGGTTTTCTACGTCTTCTGGTGCTTGCTTGTCGCAGAAAATGCAAATTTCTAATATCTGGTAAAAAACAGCAGCTCAAAGCACATGCTAGAGAGGGTTTCCAGCCCTTTTTCTGAAGATAATATGCATATTTTGTAGAAGTAACTCAGTATCCTTTGAATATCTGTGGACTGTTAAACAAAATAAAGTGCTAGTTGAAACAGGAAATAGTACTTCAGAAAAATCAGATACTGCTTCAATTGGCATATGTATAATAAATCTAATAACTTCATGCATCATAGGATTGTTGGCAAAAGCATCCCAAAATTATCTAGTGCCATTTACATGAATCAAATTACTGGATATGAAATATTAAGAATTACTTGTTCTTTTTTTATGCTATTCTGTTGACGCCATTGCAAAATAACCCTATCTCTTCTTGGACCTGGTGGATTCTGCAATCCCCCTTCCTCAAGTAAAAGCAATACAATGCAGTTAGCCTGAATAGACCCCAAAAAAACTTGAAAATTGTTAAGAAATTATATTTTTTTAAAAAGTGTCTTTATATCATTGGAGACAACCTAGAACCAAAATGTTCATCAATGGTTGTTGTACAATGCTGATAAAAAGATAATAACAGAGCATGATATATCCTGTTATATCAGCTAAATTATGACCATATGCATGACAATTCCCATTTCCTTTCCCACTCCCAAAATAATTCTCTTCCTCAAGTTCTTATGTTGCTCTCAAATTTTCTCTAATTCCTCCCTTTCTTCTTTGATTCTCCTTCCATCTAAAGCTGGTAAAACAGGTTGAAGTAGCCCACCAGCCCATGACTCATGGTGGATGTGATGTGAGGATTAATTAAAAAAAAAGGGTTAACCAGGGTGGAGTAGGCTTAAAGCAGTGCGAGCTAAAGTACTTTGCCCTCAGAAGGGATAGCATTTTATCACCCGAGCCGGCCATTTTTGGTGGCTGGTAAGCCCAACCGATGATTACCAATTCTACTTCCATCTCTACCTTTTTTCCCTCAACAAGCTTATTAACAAAACAAGACCATCCATATCACATTATAGCATTTGTAGACGAAAAAGAAGCAATTGTAATTTGGGTAAACAAAAAGATGCATTTCTATTCAATTAGCTATTTTCAGTTAAAAGATTTTTTTTTTTTGACCTCGAGTTAAAAGAGGTTCAACAAATTAGATTTTGGGTACTCATTAATCATTATCAAAATTAGGAGCACTTACTTATTATTAACCTAACTAAGCTTCGCGGATTTAGTTTTTTTTTCTCAAAAAAAAAAAGAGTTAATGCCAGTAAAATAAAATCAAGCATTTCGAATTTACATTTTAAAAATTTCACAACATAAAACTATTTTTTTTCCTAATTTATCTCAAGGTGTTTGGCAACTCTCAAAGTATTTCTGAAAAGCACTTTTCTATAAAACGAGACAAATCCCTTCACATATTTACTTCGTAAATCCTAAAAATATTTTTCAAACCATAGTTTGATTTCTATCCAATAATGATATTTCATATTCACTCGGTATGTGCGTTTCAGCTTTGGGGGGGGTCTTTGCGTGTATTCCGGGGCAGCGTGCGAACAAAGTAACAATTGTTCTTTTCTCCTAAAAGAAAAAAAATCGCAATAGCTTAATTTTTAAAGTACTCTACAAATAAAAATACAAGGAAATTAATATTAAATTTGGAGATACTATCAACAAAAAATTTAAAATTGATTTTCAATAAGTTAACTTGAAATTAATGAGTATATACAATTGTAAAAATAAATGATCATACTCAGCTGAGCATGATTTTTCTTCCGGCGTCATATGCTAAGCATGATTTTTTTAAGACTTTATGCACGACACGGAGTCTCTTGTTATTATTTTCTTTAAATGAAAGGGAAAGCAAAAGCTTACTCAGACGCTAGTGCGATAATTTGATAATGATGTCCGGGGGGAAAAAACAAAGAAAGAAAGAAAATTTGTTGCAAAATTTTCTATTAAAATAATTTTTTAATCTTAAATATAGCAGCTAGACAAAAAATGATCTTAAATATAAAATTTTAATTTGTTTTATTTTTTAAATTAATAATTTTTGTTTAAAATATTCTCATTGATTGCGTATGCTAATTAAGGAGTAGTTTTAATACACATTATTAAATAGGTAGTTTAGAAAAATCAAAACATATTTGCTACAAATAAATAATTTAATTAATTTTCTTAATATCTGCAAATTAATTGGAAAAAAATCCCACAAAAAACCTAAAAATTATTAAAATCCAATCCAGGATTATTTCGTGCACTTTAGCATGTTTTTTTGGCTACACTTGGCTCGTTATAAAAACAGATCTTTGTAAGAATTCCTAATTTAATAATTAAATAATTTTTAGGCTCTTTTTGCATAATTTTCTAATTAGTTATCTAATTTTTATATTCAATGCCTAAGTAAAATTTGTTTAAAAACACACATGCAATTTAGCAATTTTTCTTCGGTTATATTTTAATTATATATAAAATAAAAAATATTTATACGTGATTAAATATTTATTGCACATAATTAAAAATGAGTTGTCCCGTTAATTCAAATCTTTTTTGAAAAAAAAATCAGAAATAAGGATTGGTCAGCAATTTTTTTTAAAAAATAATTATCAGTTTTAAATTTGTGTATTCTTATACTATCTCTGGTTTTTAATATAAGATTTAGTTAAGTAATTTAAGTACATTAAAAAATTTGTTAAACTAGTTATTTATAATAAATAGGTGTTATTTTTCTAAATTTACTAATCATGTGTAATAATTAGAGGCTTAGAATTATTATCTGACGAAGCATTTAACATATGTAACTAGTGTAAGGATTATCTTAAAAATAAATAAATAAATATAAAAGACAAAGTGAATTAAAATTTTATATTTAGAATTAAATTAAAAATTGATTAATTTTTATATTTTTTTTGGTAACAAATTAGTTTTTATATTAACGGTTAGCGATGGTGACTGCTACAAAGCCTTGGGGTTTTTTATTTTTTGGTGGAATGCGGGTGAAGCACGTAAGAAGCATTTGGCCGCTTGGTTTCCACTACACGATTCCCAGAATCTAGCCCATCGCGCAACAGTTGTAACTTCTATTTTTCCCTGATTTTTAAACTCAAACACTCTCTTAAGCTTAACCACTTCCAAGTGCTCCGGGAAATTTTCGATGACTCAACCATCAAATCTTTCTCTTTAACGTCGAAATCCCATATTCGTATTTGGAAATCTTCCCCCACCCCTTCTTCTCTTTCTTCCCTCTGTGACAATCTCCTTTTTTGAATTTCCAATCGAAGAAGGGGAAGTAGGGCAAAAATATACGCTCCTATGGCTGGCTACAGGGCTGATGATGAGTATGATTACCTCTTCAAGCTTGTTCTGATTGGTGATTCTGGAGTGGGTAAATCCAACTTGCTCTCCAGATTCACCAGGAACGAGTTTAATTTGGAGTCCAAGTCCACTATAGGTGTTGAGTTTGCTACAAAGAGCTTGAATATTGATGGCAAGGTCATCAAGGCTCAGATTTGGGATACTGCTGGCCAAGAAAGGTCTGTTCTTCTCCTCCCACATCCCCGTCGTTTTTCCCCTCCTTTTTTTTTCCCGATTCGATGGGCTTTTGATTGACTCGTGTGTTTTCAAGTTTATGGTTATTTGACTGTAGTCAAAATTAACGATTATGAGCATGCTTCTGAGTATATGTTGATTTCCATATTTCTTTGATACTGAAAAGTGTGTTCATTTCTTTGAAGTTTGTGACTATTAAGTTGGATATGGGGGGGTTCTACGAGTCTTCCTCCTTTCCATTTCTGAATATCTTAAAGTTTCTAACGACGCGAACGCTCTTCTATTGATGACAAGACTATCTTTATGACTTAACTTGAACTTATCAAGGAGGTTGTTTCTTTGTTTGCTGGCTTATCACAGTTTTTAGCTTGGTAGATTTGATATTTGACTTTATTGAGATTATTTTATGATTGTGATTGTAAATTTTTTTATTAAAACACCCATGGTGCTTTAGTGCTGGAAAGCGTTTTTATTTCTTCAACTTTTATGAATTTTAAGTTGGATGGGATTGGTTTGTGATATAAATGACATGAATACCGCAGTATGAATAGCAGAATTATCCTTGTGATTTAACGTTAGATTATTAATAATAAGGTAATTTCTTTTTTGATGACATCTTCTCTTTAGGTTTAATTTATGACTGCTTTATCTTGAACCCGATGGGTTTGACAGACTTTTAGTTCGCTTTTCTTTGGAAAACGATTCTTACATCTGAAACGAGTGTTGATGCCTTTGGATTCTGAAGGTTACTTGTGAAATTATAGCATTTTTGGATACCCTGAAAAGTGCTTCTCAGAAGTACTTTTCTGCAAATCGAGATAAACTCCTCCATATATTTACCTTGTAGACCGTAAAACCACTTCTGAAACCATGGTTTGGTTTCCATCCAAACACCCCCTCAGTCCTCTATGCACAGTGGTGTATGGTATAATGATAACTTTATTTTGTAGTCTCTTCTCTCTTAATTTAGTCACAACTTTCAGTTTGAGCTATTAGCCTCCAGCTAATCAATAGGTTTAATCTTGTACTCCTTTGGCACCACCAATTCCAAAATATGGCTTTCCTCTTTCATTCAAAATTTTGAGCTTGGTTTTGTTCCCCATTAAACATCTGCTTTATGCCGTCAGTGTATGAGCTTTTTATCAGAAATGATAACAATAATTGCTGGTTAACTTTCCCAGTCTTCTCTTTATTTCTCCTGTTTCTGACTAAGATGTCAATGACAAGAAAGTAAAAGAAATCGTCCACAAGACATCCCTTTTCAAATTCTTTTTCCTTTGGACATCTTATGTCTTCAGTCTATAGGTATCTGTGCCTCAACCGTATTGCCTGCAGAAGTGGGAATCATTTGAAGATTTTTGGATTTCTCATAGATCTTTTCATGAGTCCTGACTTTTGAGCTAATGGATTGCTAGGAGATTCTTGATCTGAGATCCAGCTGTATTATGGATGTGATCTGATGGGTTCAAGGGCTTTTTAAGGATCATTCATCATTCTATGATGGCTCCCTTTTCACTTGCTGCTTGTCCTTAATTTTGATGCCGAACTATGATAAGAAATCAATTAATTGATGTTGAGGACCCAAAAAATGTCTTACTTTGTGCATAGCTAGTTTTATACATTCTAATGATGCAGTTGAGTAATGTTTGGATGGGCTTTTCTTACATAAACTTTTTGTTTTTTCAATGAGAAGCTTGGAAAGTTATTCTAAGCTTACCGGTGCTTTTGGTATAGTGCTGTAAACAACTTTGTTTGGCTCTGTGGGCAAAATATAATTTTTCTCTGATTATATATTTGCACTAGTTAATCCATTTTATACTAATGAGTGTATGTATTGGTTGATTAGTAGAACAGTGAATTAGTGCTGCAAAACTAGGCAAAGTGTGGCCATGCCTTTTCTTCCATGCTTGGGGTGGGTATGGCCTGCGCGCAAGGGAATACTTTTCAGATATGTGGAATAGACTGTAGTTTTGGAAGAAGTGGATTCTGTGTTTGGAGCTAAAACGAGATCTGAAGCTTGAATTTTCTGAGTGTGGGAAATGTGCAAGGGACTTGTTGGTCTGCGACTTTCTCTTATAAGGGGTTCTTTATTCTAACAGTCAACATTAATCTCTCAATGAGTTTCGTTGGTGGAAGCGCACCTAGCGTGCTCAGTTTGCTCTGGAAGAGTGAAATCAAATATTTATTTATTTCTCTGGGGTCATGGGACATGCCAGTTTGATATAGCGTTGTTTCCTTTTCCCCCTAAAGTATTTCATGAAAAGCTTCGGGAGTTTGTTTCAACAAATATCAGTTTATGATGAAATCTGACTTGGTACTATCTGTTCTTATAATAGGTATCGTGCCATCACTAGTGCATACTACCGAGGAGCTGTTGGCGCCTTGCTTGTGTATGATGTAACACGTAGTGCAACATTTGAGAATGTTGCAAGGTGGTTGAAGGAGTTGAGGGACCACACTGACCCCAGCATCGTAGTGATGCTTATAGGAAACAAATCCGACCTTAGACATCTCGTTACAGTCTCAACAGAAGATGGAAAATCCTTTGCAGAGAGGGAGTCACTCTACTTCATGGAGACTTCTGCTCTGGAATCAACCAATGTTGATAATGCATTCACTGAGGTTCTCACTCAGATATACCACATTGTGAGCAAGAGGGCGGTCGAGGCCGGGGACCACGGAGGCCCCTCGTCGATCCCATCGAAAGGACAGACGATAAATGTCAAAGATGATTCTTCAGTTTTCAAGAGATTCGGATGCTGCTCAAACTAGGTGGTGTCCCCCGTGACAGGTGATTTTCATAGCCTGTGATCTTGTAAATGCTTACTTGGGAATTGTGATTATATTTGGCAGAATAAGACTGGTGTTTGATATTGATAGTTTGGACGATGTATTACATGGAAAATCCTAGGATTTAAGTTTCTTAAAACAGTCTTTTTAAGAAGACATGTTTGAAGCGAATGTCTGCTCTGGATTTTATCAGGAATCAAAACAACTGCTTGCCTTGCCAGAATTGTGATTTTTCCATCAATCACTATGCTCATAGTAGCAGTTTGATTCTCTGTTTTCTGACATCCTCTATGCGATTGAAATCAGTGTCTTCAGTTGGTAACGGTATTGATCCTAATTATGATGACACAATTCCCTTATGGCACAAAATTAAGTTTTTTACATCGCGGGGGCATAATTTTGTGTTGTACAAAATAAATATATGTAAGAGCAGTTTTGTAATCATGCCACCATTCAAGACACATTTGTTGAGATTGTACATTTGTTATATATTGGCATTTTAAATGCTAATATAAATGTTGATAATTATTCTAATAATTGGTCTAAATATTACTTTCGTATTTCATTTTATAAAAATAAAGTGGTGATGCGATAGAAGAGACCACTTCTGTGTCAATCGTTCTTATGAACACAGCCCACTAAAAACTTCTATACATATTTGACCTCTACATATTGAATACACACATATTGTTTTTTAATCGTCGGATTTTATTATAATTTACTGATATATGTTGGGTTTTGACATTTGACGTCATTATCTCACTAAATTTAGTTATACTCCTATATGTCTTTTGGTTAAGGGATGGTGTTAACAAATATTTTATTTTGTAAATTAATGGTTAACTATGTGTATGAAATGAAGTTTAATTCAATATGATTTTTCAAATAAATCAAATAACATAGTAAAAAAATACGAGAGAAGTAAATGTAAAGGATGTTAGATATCATTCATTTATTTTATTTTTTTTGGGGCCAGCTCAAGCATAATTCATTTCACAACTTACATTTTAAAAATAATTTCTCAGTATTAATAAAATGTAAAACTAAACTAAGACATGCTAACACATGATTATGTGAAACTCATTACAATAATTTACATATCACATGAAAAGATGTAATAAAAAATAATATTAATCAAATGTACAAGAACAAGAAACATAGAGAGAAGAGCCTGGGATTGTAAAAATATTATTTTATTTAAAGAATTTTTATTACTATCTTTTTTCCCCCATTTTCTATCGCGCACGACTTTCAGGTGGCGAATAGTGTATTCCCATTAGCTAAGCAGAACGGAAGAAAAAGATTCCGCCCTATTACTGTTATCCTGTGATCCTACCGCACTGGATCGCGCTCGATCTCGGAATATTTCTTCTCCGGAAAACAACCGAACATTCCGGCAACTCGCCGAGATCCGCGAACAGCGACTCGTCTTCATCCTCCCTCATCGTCATCAACGCCATATCCTCCAACTCTCCGCCGAAGATCGGGCTTTCCAGCACTCTCGTCGTGGATGCCATGTCATCGAACCATCCGAATTGGCCATGGTGGTCGCCGAGCAGAACAGCCGAGTCGCCGTCGAGTTCTAGATCGGGATGGCTCGCGAACACCGTGAGATTCTCCTCCGGTTCGACTTTAGAGTCCGATTCGGTCGGTACGCCGTCGTTAGCGTCAGCAACAGCGGCCGAGGAGGAGGATGAAGGGGAGGTGGCGGTGGCGGTGGCGGAGTGAAGCTTGCCGGCCGGGATGGAGTGGTTGTGGTCGTGAGCGTAGGTGACGATGATCTTGGTGGGGTCCACACGGCTTCTCTCTACTTGTTTCCGGGCGGGACAACCCTTCGAACTGCTACATCGGTAATATCCCCTGTAATTAAATAATAAATTAAAATAATCGGAAAATATATTATAAAATAAGTACATGGATTAGGATCACGATCCAAAAGAAGACAAAAACCCTTGGGTATTTGTATGTGTCTTAATTTAACCTATTTTTTTGTGGGGGAAAAAAACCTCTCTGAAGCGCGTGTTCCCAATCGCGGTCACCCACCACCTTGTTAGCATCACGGTCAGTTTATATTAGTGTTGGTTCAACATTTTCATGTTAATAAATTAATTTTTCAAGTACATACATATAATCTTCAATTTTATTTTTAATTTTAGTTTTCATGATAAAATTGGAGCTAATCATCGTTAATAATTTAAACCCTCATTTTTTTTGGTAGTTGAAAACCTACCCATTTTTGTCTTACATCAAGACAAATTAAAGTGCAACTATATTTCCTTCCTTCACTAAAAATAACTTATCCAAACTGAAAACGTAAAAAAGTTATTACAAACTTCATAACGTTAATTCATGAGGATAAGATAAAAAAACAGAAAATTCTATTTTATGGAGGCTGCTAACTTTTTAATTAGCTAGAAATATCGTAATGTTTCACAGTTTCACCTAATTAAATGTGAATTGTAATATTATTAATTAATTATGAAAAAGACTGTAAAAGAATCTCAATAGAGCAGGTGTAATGTATTAAGAGAAATAGAGAGCGAAAAATGTCGGATGTAATTTAATTAAAATTGAGAAGAATTAAAGAAGCTAGGATAATTTTACTCTATGCGTGAGAGCGACGCGGTCCAGATCTCGCGTGTGTTATCATCACACATGGAAAAATACTACAAGCGCATTTTAGCACAGCCGCCTTCGATTTGGTAATTTCTCCGCCGGCGGCCTCAGCTGGTTTCAGAAGCCACCTTAATTCTCAGGACTTCCGGTTTCCAATTATGACATTGCTTAATTCCATAATTTAGCTTCTTAATGACAGGATTAAGGCCGTTTAAGAGCATTAGTGTGAATGATTTACCTGGGATACGGAGACCCCTTGATAGGCTTCTGGCCGTACTTTCTCCAAGCCCAAGAATCGGACGGTGGATACGTCTCGACTTTGCTCTTGGATCCCTCCACGTCACCGATCGGTACTACCACCACCTTCTTCTTTATCCCCTTCCTACGCACACAGCACATAACGGTAAATTAGTTTTATGTATACACACACCTGCCTAAATCCTAACTAACAAAACGGAAAGAAGAAGAAGAAGGAAGAAAACCAGGAAATTAAATTCATTAAAACATATCTGACCTTTTCTTGGGAGACGGAGCTGCAGTATTGATGTCATCACCGGAGGAGGGAGAGTCCGGTCCCATCTCCGGCAGAGGTTCAGATTCTTCCGGTGGATCGAATCTACGGGCCATGATGGAAGAGTTTAAGGGTTTTTGAGTGAATCTAAGTGTTGATCGATGGACAGTGTTTGTTAGGGTATGTATGGGTGGGAATTGATCAGAGGGTGGTGGAAGGTAGAGGGAAAATGGGTTGGTGGGGTGGCCGGAGAAGGAAGAGTGAGAGAGGAGAGGAAGAGGAGGAGGAAGAAAGAGGAGGAGGGAAGGGTTGGGGAATGATAAGAGCCGCCATATATGATGACAGATAGGCAAAAGGGGAGAGGAAGAGCAGCGTAGTTTAGTGTGGACGTGCGAGGCAATACCTAATAAATAAACAAATAAGGATGATGAGGGGGCATTCATATGGTAGAGCTGGGTTCATCATAAACTAATGTTTTCAGTTCATTCATTGGTTGGTATTAATTTCTATGATTACTCTGAATAATATAGCAAGAGCTAGGACTAAAAACATATCATACCTAACTTTTCATATTCTTAAGATTCATCTCGAATCATTCATTCATATACACAAGATACAAAGACATTCGCACACAACGTCTTGTCAAATTTGATTGTTTAGTTATCTGCTGCTTCTTATTTCCCCCCCCCCCCCCCCAGTTTATTATTTGCTTTTTTATTGTCACAGCTCACATACTTATTGTCCCTGGCAAGAATTCAAACTCACAATCTTACGTTTAGAAAAATTTGAAGGGAGATCTTTAGTGTCAGCATCATTTGGTTTGCAAGACCTTGATAATTTGTTAATTACTACCCTTATCATTAATATAAAAACTAGTTGGGAATTGAGTTTGGTTCTAAATATAAGATCTTTATTTTATTTTTCAAATTCATAATTGTTTCTCCAAAATATATCTATTGATTATAAAGTGCTCCTACAGGGATAATTTTAATCTATATGATTAAATATGTTAGTTTGAAAAAAATCAACGCATACTTGTTATAAATAACTAACTTAACTAATTTGAATAATTTTCTTAATATCTCTAAATTAGTTATTCAACTCTTATATTAAGGGCATAGATAGTATTTGTTTATAACGCATGTAAGTTTATAGGTTAAAGTCTGTATTTTTTTGTTACAAACACATTAAAATCTATACGTAATAAAAAAAAGCATTGTATATTAATCTAATCAACTCTTAAAAATGAGAAATGATTTGATTATCTTTAATTTCCATGAAATAAACCATGTCAATATCTCTGCTCAATCTTATATGTGACAGTGTGCGGGCGAGATAAATCTCTGTATTTGTGTGTGTGTGTGTGTCTAATACATCTTTGAAAAGCCATATAGAAGCAATATAATTTAATGTGTGTGTGTATATATTTAGGGAAAGATCCATGCAATGCACGAGAACCACTGTTTGGTTTAAAATGAGATTATGTTTTAATTGTTAAAATATTTTCTCTAAAAGGAATTAGTATATTGACAGAAGAATCAAGAGTAGGTTGGTTGGCTCAATTGATTTGGTTTAAAAATGTACGTGATGTAAAACCATGCATAGAGTCAAAAACAATGACGAATTAGCCGCTCAAAACCGACCTCAAAATATTTTTTAAAAAAATATTGTCCAACTTAATCTGATATATATTGAATTTATTATTATTTGTTTAATGCATATATATTTACATATTCAAATTTCTATGTGTGAGGAATTGTAATGTATGCTACAAATTAAAAATAAAATAAAATAAAATGCATAATCTAACCACGCTCTTAAAAATGAGAAGTAACTTGATTAACTTTTCATGGAATAATGAACCATGTCTATATCTGTTCTCATCCTTATAATTTGTGTGTGTGTGTGTGTGTGTGTGTGTGTGTGTGAGATAAATCTATGAAAGACTGCACGATTAGGATTCATATATAAATTTAATTTAATTTAATGTACGAATTAAGCTTTGTGCAATGTATATGCAATGTGTAAGTACAATGCATCACAGTCTAGTTTTAGGATTATGTCTAGATAGATAAGATTCCTTGTTTAATATTTGACCTTACTTTAAACATGATTCGTGAATAATTAAAAAAATAAAATTGGTGTTCAGAGAACTGAATCAAAATTACTAATTGGACTGGGAATTATTTGCAACATGCCTAATTTAGAGAAAGTTTGGCGGCTAACAAATTAGTGACAAATTGGTCAAAACAATCTCAAATCGATCAAAACTGATCAAATTGGTATATTCATGTTTTGAGCTGTGATATATTCATGCATATCTATGTCTGATAAGTATTGAGAGATGAAGGAAAATTAACAAATAGGTAAGATATATGCATGCAGGTAATAAACTTTAAAATAAGAAATTATAAACTAAATATATATATGTTGGATGAAAGCTATAGAGTATATTGTTGGATAGAGCCATTTTATACAATATATATCACTGTTTTTTTGTTATTAATTTTTTTATTTAAAATATATTAATTTCATAACACATCTGATGACCACACACTAACCCAAGAACTGGTGGCCTCTTTTGACACTTGCTAGAATAGATTTGGTTTTTCAAAAAATAAATTAAGATAATAAAGATTTCACGACTGTATAATTATTTATCATCATGTTATTTATTTCTGTGCAGTTGTTCAAAAATTTCAGAGTTTTCTTGTTAAAAATGACAACAGCTTAAAAATACCCCCTCATCGAATAATAAAAAAACATGGAGAATAAAATAACAGCTTTTTCCTGTTTATGTTTTTATATAATATAATATAATTTCTATTAAATATATGAAAATTTTTATACGATTTTAACGAAAATATATACATACTACCAATAAATGAAAAAAAAATCTTCATATTTTAAAAATATATTTGAAAAATTAATACCTTTTTTTCGCGCAAAAACACAAGATGAAAACATATATATAGACACAGAAATGTTTATTTGGTTATAATTAAAATTCACGACTCATAATAATTTTAAGGTTTCATAATGGGACAAGAACCTAAACCATTGATTAACGAATCAAATTAATTCACAAAACTATTGGCCTTAGAAATTATCAATTTATCTTAAGCTAATGAGATAAGGATGACATATACACGCAATGTGTACTCATTTCATAATCATATAAAATGCTTCATGCTTTCATCAAAACCAACAAAGATAATATTATTAAAAAGATGTCTAATCTTTTCAATCTCATTTAAGAAAATATTTAACCCTTATCATAAGACACATAATTAAGGAAGTATATATTTATTAAAGTTTTCTAACATCGTTCCTTTTAATGTTTGTGACTCATGTTTTTTTAATTTCTTTGGCTTTTTTTCTTTATTAAAGCATTGATTTTAATATGAATAAAGTTAATAGATTTTCATTGTCGGACAAAATTAATGAGTTAACAAATTTTTTTTTAATCCTGATTAAAATGAAAGGCCAGAAATACCTTATAATAAAAAGAGTTGCAGAGGGAGTAATGATTATTTCATAATCTCAAATTAATAATTATAAATTTCCTTGCTCCGATTCCTTCGCTATTGGTATAAACTATAATTAATCAAGTAAACAGTCCAAATCTTATCTTGTTTTTGCCAACTGGTTACTCATTTATTTTATTAATATATATTGTATATATCAAAATATTATTATTTTTATTTTATTCACTGGGTTATGATAATGAATGAACAATTAATATTTCAAATGAAATGTCTGACAGGAATATATTATTATATGATTTTAATTTGGAACCCTGTGCTTGCGATTAAAATAGTGATTTGATTAAGCAAGTTAGCATTTGTTCTTTTGTTTGAAGAAGGGTTGGGTGGGATATTAAATATCCAAACTTTTTAAATTAATGGGTTTTCGAATTCACCTAATTCTGTTTGGATCTTGAAGCAGACCTATGAAAGGGAAGTGAGAAATTACAAAGAAATTTAAATTCAGAAATATATTTAAGGAAAAATTTCAACAAAAAAAAAACTTTTAAGTTTCAAAGTTCCAAATGGGTCAATATAAATTTAGTCCTTCAAATTTACTGTTATTTTAGTTTTAGTCCTTCAAGTTTCAAACTATAGTTTTTTATCTTTCAAGTTTTTTTTAATTTAAAACATTGATCCTTATAATCCAATAAAAATTGAGACTATTTTGCTTTTTGAAAGATTAAAACTTATAATTTGAAACTTGAAGAATTAAAACCAAAATGAGAACAAACTTAATGGATCAAAGTTTGTATTAACCCATTCCTAATCAATCTTATTTACTACACTTTAATAATAATTAACAATATTTAAAAAGTAAATAACCACACATTTTTATAGTTATTCTTGATCTGATATTTTGAAATTTTGAAGATATTTTTTGGGGAATTTTCCCAATATTTAATCGATACCACCATTTTGTATTTTTCTGTACATTATTCTTCTCGATACTTACGTAGCAATTGGCTAATGATGTCATCAAAAGCATTGAGAAATATTTTTTTTAATTCTTTTTTTACATTTTATATTTTTTGACAAAACGTATTTTATGGATATTTTTTATAACTCAATATTGACGTGATTATTTTTTCCCAGAAGAATTTTTTAATTTTTACAACTTCATGAAATCTCTAGTTTACTTCTTTTCCTATAAAAATTTATAATTGATCGTCATAAAAATAATTTTAAATTATAGAGTATGAACTAAATCAATATTTGAATCAAAGTGTAAACTAAAATATATTTTTTGACAAAAATAATTTCAGCGTAACATAATTGTATTATATATCTAATTAAAAGAATTTGTAACTATGTCTAATCCTTGAAAAAATCTAAGTAAATTATGAAACTTTAAAGACAGTCAAAGTTCTATAGATGATTATATTGGAATTTTTTATATGAAGGTACCAAGAAATTACTAATATTGATAACAAAGTAGTATTAAAATATATTATGTTTGGCATAAAGCTTGGAGACTAAGGAAACATCAATCAAACTACGTTAAAAATGTCAAAAAAATCATAGAGAAGGGCTAAGAATACACACACTGATGTCAGATTGAAATTGAGTCAACAATTAATAAAAAGTTACCTTAATTGCTTTAATATTAATGTATAATAATTAACCTGTATTTTCATCAAAAATTGAGAATCTTCTCAATTCTCAATTCAAAGCAGAACAACACTTAAGTGCCGTTTGATTAACGTTAAAAAAAAAAATCATTTTTTATTGTATGAGGTAAACATATAATTAAGAAGAGTTTTGTCTTATAAAACACAAAAAGAATTATTTTAACAGATCCATGTACTAGCAACAAGAGTAAATGTATGCTAATTCAGAGTAGCAATTATACAATATGAAACTAAGAAATTATTTTAATAATAGTTAAGAGATGTTTGTTTGATTTATTAAAGAGCAATAATTCATGTGTGTGTAATATTTCACGGATAATATATATATATATATACACACACACACACAAGGTTTGAAAAATAAAGTGTCAAAGGAATCTCTTAAGAAGCAGCCTATGTTGAAACAGTATTGAATATCACATGAGGTGGGGGACAAGATAAATTAAGTAGTTTATTCTTGTAACCCTGATCAATAATCTAAAGCATAAAATATTCAATAAGTAAAATTATTAATAAAATCAAATAATGAGAAAGTGGACCTTTTGATTATAACATTTAAAATGAAATTATGATCACAAACTGTGACATAATGACTCATTTTTATATTACACCGAATATCTTTACTTAGACGGAACAAACGAGCTAGCAAGTAAAATGAGAGCAGAACTGAAAACATGGAATCAGGGGCAATTACGACATTTTCATCTGGCACAATACGGCATACGCTAAGCTTAAAATCTAATGAAACTTGCTTTATCATCATCTCCGAGCTCCAGAAACCTCGTCATATCTGCATATCAATGGCGGCAGCAGAACAAATTCTGGAACTATTCGATTCGTATTGGTTCAAGACCGCAGTTCTGAGCAAGAAATCCCCTTTATCTTCATCGTCTCCAGCTTCAACCCAAAACACTTTTCCTCAACCACGACGACGAGGAGTAGCTATTAGGTCCTTCACTGATCACCAAGCCACGGTGGCCGCCTCCACCACCACCGCCGCTACAAAGAGTAGTTCTCTCTGGGAAGAAGGAGGTAACAGAAAAAGGGTCAGGGATCAATCGGGTCACAACGTTCGACCCAGAATAGAGCTTGAGATTAGGGAGCTGAAAGGGTTTATGGATCTAGGGTTTGTGTTCTCCGAGGAAGACAAGGGTTGTTCGAGGTTGGTGTCTCTGATTCCTGGGCTGCAGAAAATGGGAAGAAGGAGCAAAGAAGAAGAAGAAGAAGAAGAAGGAAGCGTCAAGCAAAGGAAAATGATTAATCCATGGAGTTGGAGTACTGGTGAGACTGACATGAAACAAAGTCTTAGATTTTGGGCTCACTCAGTTGCTTCCCTCTCATTTCAGCGTCAACATAATTAAGTTTGTTTCCTAATCTAATTAAAAGTACCCCTTTTCATGTTCATACATACAAAGTAAAGTTTGCTTTGTGTTTCTTAAAGAAGAGGACACAAGTAATCAGGAAGCAAACCTGATCTCTTGTTACATGATAATATGAACAATGAGCTTTTTCTCTTTTTAATTTTTATCATGTATCCTAGCATGTTGTTTGCAAGAATATTAGAGACTAAATTTGTGTCGATGATGATATCTAGAATCATTACTGTATCATATGAAATTTATAAATATATATATATATATAAAAGAACCTAAATATAGCAATTGGTAATTTTTTTTCAATAAGTTATATAATTCCTGTATTTAAAATGGGATGCTTCATCATGTGGGTTTGTCTTGACTCTTGATTTGATGGACTTCCGGCAGAGAATCTGAGATTTGTTTATTCCAAATAGTAACGAAAGGCACTCTTTTCCTGCTTTATTTTTGTCTTCTCTTTTGTCAATAATTGAACAGTTAAGTAAACATTAGATGCGTTTATGATGTATGCAATTAATTAATTAACACTTCCATTCTTTTCATTATCAATATCAATTAATGTCAATCCTAAAAAGAAGTTTTAATTACATTATTTTCATGGTATTTTGTTGCTTATTAAATCGATTTACTTCTTCGAATTGATTTCAACAGTTTCTTAAAACATAATTTTTTAAAACTTTTTATTTAAAATCTTAAAATTTAAAACTTTGGATGAGGATGAATCCAAACATTTTGAATTAATCCTAAAGAATTTCTGAAACTTTAATGGTCATTCAGATATTTATAGCTTTTATTTATTTTCACAATTGGAAGTATTAAAAGAAATTTTAACAGAAAAATATTAATTTGTGATATTTTTTATTTTTTCTGGTATATTAATCTATCGATTTCTATAAACTTTAAACTATAAATAGATGCTTTTAAATTTCAAATAAGCTAGGGAAAATTAGGAAATTTATTGTAATCATTCATACAGCTGACATGATAGTTAAAAAAACATGAGATTATTGCATATGATAAAAATTTTAAATAAATTTCACACAAAATATATATTTTATTCTTAATTCTTAATAAATATGCGGTCATGAGTGGGGGGTCCCACTTGGACTCTTAAAAATAAATTAAAGAACAATTAGGAAAAAGTTGATAACACACACGCAGCCCTTTGTGCTCATCCCCACATTGATTTCTCCGTTCACTACAAATCAGTTGCCCCAATACTTACCTTTTAATGTTGGGAAAATGACAATAAAATACCACTTGAATTCTAAAAAGACAAATAAGGGACCTGAATAAACAAAATGATAAATAAGGCACTGGGTACCAATCTGGAATTCATATTTTCGGCCAAAAGACCAAAATGCCCTGATGAATGCGGGAAGACCGAAAGCTGAAAGTGAGAGAAAGGAGAGAGGAAGACCGACGCAGTGAGAGAAAGGAGAGAGGAAGACCAACGCTGATGAAATGCGGGAAGAAGGAAAGAAGAATGTTGGAAATGCTATTATCTTACTCCTTCGCATCACCATTCTATAGATATTGTTGATTTTGGTTGTGGGAAAGAGGATTTGTAGTGAGAGAGGGAGTGAACCGAAGCGAAAATCAGCAAGCAATTACATAACGTAACTGCTGTCATATGCCTGCTGGTTTTTGGTAAATCCCATTACGTGAATGGTAAATTTCACTATACATGTAGTTAATTATGAATTTTACAAAATACATATTGTGATTTACAACTTTTGTAGTGAAAGTGACTACTTTGTTAATGAGTTTTGCAACCTGTTTTCAGGAGATAAACAACTTGTTTGTAAAAACTAATAAAATTTCACGCTAAATTTGACAAAAAGTATAGTGGGATTTACAACTTCCGTAGTAAAAATGACCACTTATTCAATGGGTTTTGTAACTTGTTTTCAGGGGATGGGCAGCTTGTTTCTAAAAACTAATAAAATTTCCTACTAAATTTGACAAAACACATAGTGAGATTTACAACTTTCGTAGTGAAAATTACCACTTCTTAAATGAGTTTTGCAACCTCTTTTCAAGGAATTGGCAACTTGTTTCTAAAAACCAATAAAATTCCATGTTGAATTTTACAAAACATAGAGTGATATTTACAACTTTTGTAGTGAAAATTACCACTTCTTAAATGAGTTTTGCAACCTCTTTTCAGGGGATGAGCAACTTGTTTCTAAAAACCAATAAAATTCCATGCTGAATTTTACAAAACACATAGTGATATTTACAACTTTTGTAGTGAAAATTACCACTTCTTAAATGAGTTTTGCAACCTCTTTTCAGGGGATGAGCAACTTGTTTCTAAAAATCAATAAAATTTGACGCTGAATTTTACAAAACACACAGTGATATTTACAACTTTTATAGTGAAAATGACCACTTCTTAAATGAGTTTTGCAACCTCTTTTTAGGGGATGAGCAACTTGTTTCTAAAAATCAATAAAATTTGACGCTGAATTTTACAAAACACACAGTGATATTTACAACTTTTATAGTGAAAATGACCACTTCTTAAATGGTTTTTGCAACTAGTTCAACGTGACTACAAAAGTTGTCACTTTTATTAGTTTTTACAAACAAGTTATTTATCTCTTGAAAACAGGTTGCAAAACCCATTAACAAAGTAGTCACTTTCACTACAAAAGTTGTAAATCACAATATGTATTTTGTAAAATTCATAATTAACTACATGTATAGTGAAATTTACCATTCACGTAATGAGATTTACCAAAAACCAGCAGGCATATGACAGCAGTTACGTTACGTAATTGCTTGCTGATTTCCGCTTCGGTTCACTCCCTCTCTCACTACAAATTCTCTTTCCCACAACCAAAACCCACCAAATCAACAATCTTTACAGAATGGTGATGGGAAGGATTTAGTTTCATCAACTGGAGGGGGTTCGGTTTCGTGGAGTGGAGGGATTGGTTTCATCGAGTAGAGGGATTCGGTTTCACTGAGGGGAGGGATTAGTTTCACCGAGTAGATGGATTGGTTTCGCCAAGTGGGGGCAGTTTCTCTTTCGCCGAGTGGGGGGAATTGCTTTCGCTGGGAGGAGGCAAACACAATAAGGGCAATTTAGTCTTTAGGCCAAAAATCAAAATTCCAGATTGGTACCTGATGCCTTCTTTGTCATTTTGCTTATTCAGGTCCCTTATGTGTCTTTTTGGAATTCAAGTGGTATTTTAGTGTCATTTTCCCTTTAATGTTTATCACATTTTCTAAAAAGCTTAATTACCTTGAATTTTTTATATCCATAACAGCCCACCTTGTGTCTTTTCATAATATTGACATTTTTCAAAAATATACTTCCTCTAGTTTTTTTTATATAATTTTGTTAAAAATAATTTGAAACCTGAAATTCATAATATCATTTTTCACTTTTATGTCATTAATTATTGGTTAGTTTTACTGCATTGATTATTATATTTGCTCGGTCTTGGCCACTCTCCTTCTATAGATAAAGGTATTTTTTGGAAGGAAAAAAAAAACTACTACTTTCATTTCTTGATATAAGCCATCTAATTAATGGGTAGATTAAGAAAGTCCAATAGATCATTTAGTTATGACAAATATGAGATAATCTCCCTAGCTAAAATATTTCTACATAACAATATATCATAGAATACATTAACTTATAAATTAAGTAAATGAATTTTAAAAAAATAAATATGAAAAAAGGTAGATTAATGTCTTATATTTAAGATCAAATACTCTTCCGGTACTTAATGTAGGACCTAATTGTTAAGTTGATTTTGGTTCTAAATATAAGAACTATTTCTCATATTTATCAGTGTTTCCTAAATTACCCCTATGGATACTCCCTCAGCTATAATCAAGTAGAAGAGAAAGGAAGATATTAAGAAACATAATTATGGTATTTTAGAAAAAAAATGTCATACTCCTCTGATATTTAATATAAGACCCATTTAACTAGTTTGATTAGATTAAGGAAGTTAGGTAAGCTAGTTAATTATAAGAAAAGTGACATTTTTTCCAAAACACCATAATCATCTTTCTTAATACCCTATCTCCCTCTTCTACTTGATTATGGTTGAGAGAGTATCTATGGGAGTAATTTAGAGAAAATTGATAGATATGAGAAATGGGTCTTATATTTAAGACCAAAATCAACTCAAGAATTGGATCCTATATTAAGGACGGAGGAGTATTTATTATAATTAACTAACTTACCTAACTTTCTTAATCTAATCAAATTAGTTAAATAGGTCTTATATTAATGACTAAAGGAATATAATTTAATGCTAAACTAGCTATTATGTTAAGCATCTTTGGACATTTTCTATGTTAATGAGATTTAATCAATTTATTGCCTCCAAGGAGTTGTAAGCAAGTTAATGTGAACTTTGAAAACCGGTTGATGTATTGCCCCCCCGGGGGGTGACATTAAATAATAAATATTCCCCTAATTTTATATATAAAAACAAAACAATTAAATCATGTAAAGAATGAGTAGGGAAAACAGTATGATTAATGCACAAATATAATATCATGTAATCAGTGGGGGCAAAAAAAAAGGGTTAAAATTTTAAAAATCTTTTAATTATCTCATAAATAGAATTATTTTTATCCAAAAAATATACCTTTATATATGTGTGTGTGATAGGAGGGAGTATGTTACGAATGACTGCTGGCATAAAAAAAATGTTACTAATGACTAATAAAGAAATATTCCTGAGTGTCGGCAGAAGACCAAATTAAATGCTGACCGCTACCGATACTTGATAACTACCACGGCAATACTAATTTAATACTCATTTAATTTAATTTAAAATTTTAATTAGGTTTTTTAACTTTAAAAGATATATTTTTAATCTTTTAATCTTAAAAATATTAACAAAAAATGATAATATTGATATCTTAAATATCAATAAAAATTTTCAGATACTCACATATTAAGTTTAATTTTTAAAATAATTATAATTATTACAAAACATCATCATTTAAGCATATTGATTTTAGAGTCAAAATACCAAACGTATATTTTAACCTAATATTTTATTTAAAAGAAGACAATAATGTATCTCGCAGTTGACATTGACTATTAGCCAAGTCTTTACTAAATTAATTTCAAATTTGAAAAAAGTTCCTTGCACTAATAATCTACAAATATTATATTACATACAAATATATGTACTCCGTGGAAATAGGTCCGTAGGTTCTGACCCAAAAAAAAAAAAAAACAAAGTTCCGCG